TGACTTTTCCCTGACTTTTTTGATTTTTCCCCTGGCTTTTTAATAACTTTATTTCTGTTTTCTTGGACCAAAGTATAGTTAACGACATATTTAACAATAAATTAATATCTAATGATAGTAACAAATTGTAATAGAAACCAAAATTTTAATTTTTGTTGAAATTTCCCTGACTTTGAATGAAATTCTCTGAAATTCCCTGACTTTTCCCTGACATTTCCCTGACCAACAAAATTCCCTGACTTTTCCCTGACCTCCCTGACTTCCCTGACCGTTAGACACCCTGCTATATGCAAGTAGGCTATAAAACTACTTGCATTGTAACCATTATATATTAGTATTTGGAAGCAAATTAGTTAATTGAAAATGAATAATAAACAGATCGATAACCAGTGCCGAAATTTAATAAGATGGAAAAGATGGTTTAACTTTAATATTAAAACAAGAATTAAATTTTTTCAAATATCGCCTGAGGAGTTACAAGTGTTCAAAATCACCGAAAAACCTAAAAAGTACAACATTGAAGGTAAAACTTGTTATACTGACACACTATTAAATAGAGCAGTCTGAATGCCATATAAAACTACATTGAAAGTACTTCCCAGTAAAAAAAAATAATTGGGAGTCACGAAAAAGAATTGGGAGTTTGATTACTATCTATTCGTTCCTGCGTGATAACCGTGTAGGGACGTTACGGACAATTATTTTTTCTTACCTTGAATTCTTTTCACCTGGATTGTTTGAATTGATGTATATTAGCGCGATTTGACATTGTAATTGGAGAAAGTGATTGTTTTGAAGTGTCAAAATGCCGATTTGGAATAAGAAATGTGAAATTTTATGAAAAAGACAAAATGTGAAATATGACTGATTTATCGACAATTTTATCATGTGAGTAGTGCTCGTATGGTAAATTTATCATATGAACACTACTCATATGGTAAAATTGTAGATAAATCTGTCATATTTCACATTTTGTCGTTTTCATAAAATTTTACATTTCTTATTCCAAATCGGCATTTTGACACTTTGGAACATGCATTCTATTCATTTATAATGCAAATTTTGATCAACAAACATCAATTCAAACAATCCAGATGAAGAGAATTCAGGGTAAGAAAAAATAATTGTCCGTAACGTCCCTACACGGTTTAGACGCCAAACCGAATACAAAGTAAGCTAACTCCCAGTTCTTTTTCGTGACTCCCAATTATGATATTTTTGATTCGTTTGCAAAATAAATAAAATTTAATTTTAATTAGTTAATGTTTAATTATTTCTGTGCTTTATCAAATTTTCACAGCTGTCAAAATAACCTTTTTCCCATGTACTCAACTTAAAAATTAAAACTCCAACATAAATTAAGAAAATTTTTTTAAATAATTACAAAATTTGATTGTACGGATATTAAATACCATTATTACAAATTATTATTACATTTTTCTAAAAATAGACCGCAACCACTTTTCGTAAAATATAATGGATTGTTCCATTTATATCAATCTCCCTATATTATATAGAAAGATTTTGCCATCGGATTCAGCGCCCCCCCACCTTAGGTCAAATTAAACCCTATTTTTGACCTACAGGTCACGAATCACAACGTTACGTCAAAATGAAGGTCAAATTTGACCTAGTTTTTGACCAACAGTTAGACTCGTTACCTCTGTTCAGGCTACTCCCGTTACTTCCAATTCTAGATCAAATTTGACCTGATTTTGACGTATATTTAGAATCATCACCTTCATATCTTCACAACTTAGGTCAAAGTTGACCTGAGTTTTTACATACTGGTCACAAGTTACGTCAAATTCCAGGTCAAATTTAGCCTTATTTTAGAGATATAGTTAGAGTTATCACCTTCGTTCAGCAAATGCCTGACTAAATTTGGAAAATTTTGAGTGGTCTTAGACCTTTCTAAGTGAAAAATTCGCAATGTTACAAAGATTCAAAGTTTAAAGTGCCAAAACATTAGTTTCGAGAAAAACGAGTTTAAATTTCGAGTTTACTATTAGCTCCCATGCTAATAAATAATATTTTATATATATATATTAAATATATATTAAATATATATTAAATATATATAAATATATTATTTATATTTATAATAATATATTTTACCAAATATGTTAGATAGCTAGCAACCAAAGCAACTTTCAAGTTGTAAAAATGGTAGGTAGTCACTATTTCTAAAAACTGTTTTCTAATTCTTTTTTTTTAAAAAGCCATTGCTAATGAAATAAGTTTTCTAAAAAAATATTTTCTAATAAGTCTAACAATTCTAAAACCAACTCGCTAATTTGAAAAGAACTTAAAATTTTTAAAATTGTTTTTAAATTAAAAATATCAATTACTGTTAATATAAATTTTAGTATAATTTAAACTTTGTTAGAAAAAAACATTAGAAATTAAACTGTGTTAACAAATTTTTTTTTAGAAAGTAAAAATTGCTAGAAATTTTTTTTAGATATTATTTCTTAGAAAAAGTGTACCCCAATCGTAAAAATGTACCTTTTCAAAGAAAGCTAATTACAAAATTACTTAAGAATATGTGCAAAAAATGTGAAGAAAAAATTTTTTACTTACGACATTGAATTTTCAGTGTATTTTTTATCACTTCTGTTTTCTTTAGAGTACGCTTTGTCCCTGATGTGGAGGCAAGAGGAATTGCTTCTTGTGTACAGAAATTCTTCTCATTGATATTATCCCCACATTTTGTGGCGTCTTCAGAATGGTCCATATTCATTTAAAGAGGTATCATATCAACTATCAATATATAAAGTAGTGTAAATTAAATAAATCCAGACAATTACCAATTTAAAATGTTGTATACACTGATGAATCAGAGTATTTTCACTGATTTAAAATAGTTAACGTCGTTGGGTGTACGCAGTTAATTTATGGACTTATGGTTGATTTACAATCAGAGAAGAATTGAAAATAAGCTAGTAAATAAAGTGAAATTCTATTAATTAAAATGTATTTGATAATAATAATAATAATAACCGATTGCTTAACTATTATCAAATAAATATTTACTTGAATCAAATAATTTTTTTTGAATTAAGTAAATTATATTTGTATCAATTATTTCAGTATTTGAAGCAAATACCATTTAATAGATTAAAGTAAATATTTATTTCATAGTGCACGAGGAATTGGTTATATGAATAAAATAAATTTTTTTACAGGGTATGAAAGCATAGTTCTAATTATTTTAAACATAAAAACATGTGTAAATATTTAAAGAAATGACGATGCAATAGATTTTCTTATTAGAAAACGATTAAACGTATTTAATGTGAAACTTTAACTTCTTAATATTTTTTTTGTTAAAAAAAGACCATTTTGATTTTGGAAAGGGGATTTTTTAAATTCAGAAAAGAATCTGCATCCCAATATATACTAAGTTTGGAAATTGTAGTTACGGTTACGCACGCGCACGGTAATTTTTGAAAAATAGAATATTGAAAACAAGAATTTTTCATAAGGGGCCATACTTAAATTACGTAACGCTTTTTTCGGAAATTTTGAGTCCCCTCACCCCTATGTAACAAATTTTTGTATATATTAGCGCCATTTTCTTGCAGTTTGTAACAAAGAACAAAGAACCCCCCCTCTCCATGAAGTGTTACGTAATTTAAGTATGGCCCCTAATATGCGAACACAACATACATTAATTAATCAATCAAGACATATGAGTTATTCATCTGAACACGAAAACAAAATTTAAAACAATAGTATATTATGGGGCAATCACGTAAAGCAATACTTTTTAGGTGAGGATGTAATTTTCAGTACGAGCTGTCGTTAGTGAGACGTAGGTGAGACGGAAGCGACTAAGCGAGCCGCAGGTGAGTCGATTCGAGCCAAGTCGAACCGAAGTCGCACATACAGCGAGTATTGAAATCATCCAAACCTAAAAAAATTGCTACGTGCGAGACGCATACGCTATTTCTTTCGCCATTGATATAAAAAAGTAAAACATTATAAAAAATTGAAATATATTAATATATTTATTTAAGATATGAATTAATATGCAATTAATTGTATTATATTATTATTTCTTTATTACTGTTATGGATTAAAAATATTATTAATTATATCAAAAATAAATATATAAAATATTATAAACAAATAAAATCCAGAAAAACCAACAAGCAAACAAAAATTCCTTCAAAAATCAACAACTGCCTAAAAAAGTCTTTTTTAGGCAGTTAGCCCAATCTGCCTTAAAAAGTGCTACTTTATCTGCCCAAAACAGGCACAAAAAAGACACTTTTTCATGTCAATGGCGAAAAAATATAAATATGTGAATAAATCTTAAAAAATTGAAATATTTATAAACTTATAATGAAAAAATATCAATCAATTTAACAATGAAATAATATATAGAAATATAATTTTATAATATAATTATTCGCATAAAAAATGAGTTTTATGTAAATATTAGAAATTATTTAAAAAAGCGAACAATTTATAATACTTTTTTTATGAGATGAGAATTTAACAAACAAATAAATATAATAAAGTGAATGAATGAGACCACGTGTGAAAAGTGTATAGGGTTATGTTGAACTGCATTTTTTTAAGTGAAACGTTTTGCAGATAAAGTAAATTAAATACAGTATCTAAATTTTATAGAAGAAAATGAAAAATTCAGAGCAGGAGCAATTAAAACAACTAAGATGAATCCCTTATATTCAACTGGTTAATGATTTGAATTAATTGCATACAAAAATTCATTAGAAAAAAACTGATAAGTTGATACTCACCTTCATGAATTGAAAATTCGTATTAGTCCTCTCATCTATCAAAATAAAAATTCACTAAACTTTTCTGAATTTATATATAGAACAAAACTGTTCACACTGAAATAGGACAATTTTAACTTAAACTCTCTCAAACTTAGCTCTCAAGCTGTAAGCTGTGGTAAGCTGATTCAAGATTTTCTCAAAATTTTTAATTTCTCGAAACTTCTAGAAAGCGTTGGTAGCAAACTGTAACGGCAGCGATCTGCGATTTTGCGACAACGACATTCATCTGGCAACGCCGCATCTCGCTGTGCGTCGAGACTCGAGACCGTCGAGCAGCAATTTAGTCCACTCCTTTTACCTTTAGTCTGGCCAGTCTAATAGTAGTCACTAGTAGTTAGAAGATAGCCTGTGATATTATGTTATAGTGTATGTCGGCTTATCATCGTTTAATATCGTAAATAATGTCCGAGGGCAGTAAAACAACCGGTCCTCAATTTGCGTCTGTTTACCTTTACGATAAAAAAAAGTCATTATTGTTCCAGTCTCAAACATCTTACATTTTAAATTTGAAAAATATAAATCCTAGAAACAAAGAAAGTTCCAAGTAAAAGTCGACAACACGATTAGCGATGGATGGATCTGTGATATTGGAGGTAAGTCTATACTATATGACATTATCTCAGAAATATTAAATATATTTTACAAAATGTGTAATTCTTTAAAAAGGGAGAGAAAATTGTCTTATGACCAACAGAAAAAGTGATTCATGTGTAATAGTATATGAAATTGGGAGAGTGTTTAATGTAAAAAAAAGTCTTACTTTGTGGATTATTCCTTATAAATTTGTGAAATATTTTTATTCGTTCTTTTTGCTTCGAAGTTATAGTTTCTTAATAAATTTCTTTATTATATTTTTTCGTTCTTTAAGTAATATTTATTGCTGGGAAGGCTTCCTATTATTTTGTTTTCAGTCTATGTGTCCTTGACCAAGGTCACATTTGATCACTCTGCATTGATTGTTTTTCTTTCTTTCAAAGAAATCAATTTAATACTTATCTATTTTCCATTATTTCATTCTATAACTTCTCATTTTCTCGTCTATTTGTAGACATTTTCTTGTAAAAATAATTTGAAATATTTTTGATAAATCTTGCGAAATGATAATTTTGTCATTCATTATTTATTTATCTATCAATTTGTTCTTGTTTTCTTTTCATAAATGTTTTAAATTCATAATTTTATTTTACTGCTGATATTTTTTTATTTTAATTAATTGCACAATTTCATTCTAATTTATAACTTTTTTTGTATTTACTTTTAACTTTTATTAATGTTTATTACTTTTCTTCAATTCTTTACTTGTTAAATTGAAATATTACTTATAATAAATTTAAAATTTTCATTTTTGTATATTCATCCAATTTTTTTAAAAATAATTTCTGCTACATTAATAAATTTTCTAAAGTTTAATTAAAAAATAGAAATTATGGAAATTTTTGTTCAAAAGAAACTTTAAATTTTCTAAACAAATGTGATTCATAAAAAATTGTCATTTCTTTATTTTTAAAAAAACGTGGAATTTTGTTAAAAAATTGGATATGAGAAATAGAAACCATTCAAAGTACATATTTCCTTTACTCCGAAAACAGAATTTTGCTGAAAAATTATTCTTCTAGAAAATTTTTTTAAAGGAAAATAAAAGAATTGCTGCAATAAGAGACTCATGAAACCCAGAGCTTCAAGTTGGCTCCTTTTATGTTACAAAATTTTTTTGAATTTTGAATATTTTCCTTGTAGAGTATAAAATTAGGCAACATTTTTCTTAAAATTTTTTTAAACATAAATTCTTTTCAAAACAATATCAAAAAACTTGAGTTTTTCATCGTATAAATTTTCAATCATTTTAAAGTTTAACATAAAAATAAACAAATTTTATTTTCATAAATCCGAAGTTTTTAGACTTTTTATTCGGAGAATTTACTCATTCAAGTGTAGAGAAAGTGTTAGTTAAGCAATAAATTTATTAAATCCCAAAGTAATATTTTTTAAAAGCAATTTTTAAAACCTTTTGGAAAAACTTTATTGAACTATTATATGAGCATTTCTTCCACTGGAAGTTTTTCCAAATTGAAAGTTCCCCAGACTTTTGTAATTTAAATGAATTGAATAATTTTTTCTGACCTTTTATACATATAAATAAATTGATAGAAATGTTACTTCTAGTTTTAACTAATTTGTGGTCAACGCAACATGCTCAGTTTCAAGTGTCTGCCTTTTTGCGATCTGTCAGTACAATTTTCGTCTTGTCTCGTATGAGAATAATAATATGCATTATCGTCTTGTATGGAGTGTCAAGAATGCATATGCTCTGATTGGTATGTTTCAAGTGGAAACAAAACCATAAAAAGCATTAATTATATATGAGTCAAATTCAAAACACTATTTTTACTCTTATGCATAACAATCATTGTTCAAGAGATTACTTTTAATTTCAAAAATTAATCAAAATATAACTATTTTAATAATTAAAAAAAATTTTATATTACAAATTTTTTTTAACTTTATTTTTAATTAATTTTGTTTTAAAATTTTTTTGAAGTTTATCAGTGGGAAAAAAACCTCTTGTTACAAAAACTTTCTTCAAGTGTTTATAATAACGTCTGTTATTTGCCAAAATTCTTAAAACTTTAAGACAATCAAATTTTTATCTTAAACTTTATATAATTTTTCTTTTACATAGATTCAGAGACTAATTTGGCTAAAAACAACAGTAGGCAGCATATCCCAGCAAAGAGGACCTTAGCCTCGGCAACTGAGTCGTCAACTGAGGAAGAAGTAGATAAAAAAAAAAAAAAAAGTCAAATCAATTTTGCAACAGCAAAGAAGAAATTTGTTCAGCATTAAAAAAACGCATTGAAATGCAATCAAAGTTAGAAGTGAAAAAACAATTAGCAAAGCATCAGACAACTGAGATAGTGAGTGGCCTTGTCAACATCTCAAATGACAATGAAATATTACCGGAAGATGTCCTTTCTGTCAACTCCATCAATGTTGATAAAATTTTAACAGAAACTGACCTTGCTACAAAATCCACAAATGTCGATGAAACTGGCTTTCCTGTAAAATCTACCTACGATGAAGATTCAAGGACCGTCGTATTGTCACAAGAGAAATTATTCGGCGAAGCTGTAGAGGTTATAGAAATGGTGTCTCAACAAGAAATATTGTCAGAGGTAAGAGCTGAGAAAAATAATTATTAAAAAAATTGTGTATCTTAAGCTCTTTCTATTTAAATTGGTGGCTTTTTTCCAATTTTAATAAGATAATTTAATACTTCTCATAATTGATTAATCCATTTTTAAGAATATGATTTTTAATATAAAAACATCCATGATTCCTACAAACATTCACAGTTTAAATTACAGTTGAATTTTCAGAGAACATTCTAAAAAACTATTAAAACTAATTCATTTAGAGAACAATTACAATTAAAAATTCCAAATATAATTACATTTCATAAGAATTGCGTTTACAACTTTGATAATATTGTTTTGAAATTGTTTGAAATTTAGTAAAATTGAATTGTATTAGGGTCAGCCGGGGTAAATCCGAACGCTAATTATTTCAGCTTAATTAAAATAAACGAAAAATAGGATAATACTTAGAATCTCTTGAAGAGGATCTGAGGTAAAAATTCTCATGTCTAACTTATTTATTAGAATTTTAATTAAGCTGAAATAATTAGCGTTCGGATTTACCCCGGCTGACCCTATATAAATTTTTTTCACAAAAAGACATGTTTTTTAAAAGAATGTATAATATAATTTAATGATATTTTTCTAAAATTGAATTAAAATAAATTTTAACTTTAATTCGCTCTAAGCAGGAAACTGTCCAGGAAGATTTGCATACACTGATTGAGGGCGATTTATCAGGAAATGACATTTCCTTCCAAGGCATTTTGAAAGAATACAATAGCCGAAATTCTGAGAGCGAAGTGATAATTGACAATATGAGAAAGCAACTTGAAGAACAAATTCTTGAAAACGTCAAATTGAAAAAAGAAATTGCGATAAAAAATAAAATTCTGGAAGTCAGAAATTTAAGAATTTCTGAAGTTGAGGATATTAACTTCAAGCTGCAAAATCAAGTTGTGGATGGCATGCTAGAAGTTTCAGGTAGTATCCGTTGATTAATAATGTCACACCCAACCTTAACCGATTATACATAATTTTCTATTTTCAGAATTAATTAAAGGACAAACAGCGCGAATAGAAGGTGAACAATTTACGGCGGAGCCATTTGTTGGACGTATAACGAGAGACTATAGAAAGGTATTTCATCTTTGATAACTGTTGTCCTTACTAGCGAAAATTCATGAAGACCAGAGGTATTAGAAAAGCTCGAAACATTCAATTCAATCAAATTATTTAGAGCTTTTAGATTTTCGCCAAGTCGAGCTTAATTAGTTCAAGATTTATTCCAGTTCTAGAAAAAAACTCGAGCAAATACGAGCTTGAGAAATATTTAAGTTTTCCAATATATCAAGTCCTTGAGTGAATTTGAGAACACGAATATTTTGGGTACTAGAGTAAATTCTAATAATCGTCGCACATATTATAATTAAAATTAGCTCCAGTAATCAAAATTTTTAAGAATTAAAATTAGCTCGAGTAATAAAAATTTCCAAGCACTCATGTATATTCGAATATTTGAAATTTTTAAGTACGCAACTGAATTTTGATACTAAAATTGACTCGGGAACTTGAAAATATTTGAGTACTCGATACATCGATTCGAAAAAATGTTGTTCGACCCTCCTCGGTTATTTGAGCTTTTTGTAAATCTCTAATAGTCAGGTTAAAAAATGTTGAAACTTATTCTTTTAGTAATTTATCATGTAGAACTCATGTGCAAAACTCATGACACAACCTGTGCGTGGAATGCAAGACAGTAGATGTTCAGAAATTCTTTTCAAGTAATTTTTTTAAGAACTACCTGTAATTAAAAATATTACTTATAAATTATTTAACAAATAGTTATACTTAAAAATCTAAAAGAGAGTTCAATTTTAAAAGAGTTGCGTTTACAATTATTTTAATAAACAATAAAATTTCAAAATGTTTCAAATTATATTTTAGAAATTTTAATTTTTCATAATTTCAAGGGCATTTTAACCATTGTGACTTCCTAGGTCTAGAATACCAGCTTTGTACAAACTGCAAAGTCATAATGTGAATTGTGCTTAACTAAAAATTCGATAAAAGTTAGTTTTTTGAATAATTTCTATTTAAATTATTTTGAAATTAGTTAATTTGTAAAAATATAAATAATTGAAAATATTTTGAATATTTGAATTTCTGTAAATTGAATTGAAAAAAATGAATTTTTGACTAATTTTAAATGAACTTTCTTTTTTATGTATATGTATAATATAATTGAATTCTCAAAGAACTTTTTCCAAAATTTTGAAAATTGATTAGAGAAACACTTTTATTAAAACTTTGAAAAATATTGTCAGAATTTCTGGAAATCAGGAAACATTCAGTGAAAAGCAAAATCACATTTTTGTGACAACCTTGTGTAACAGGGTGTCCGTTAAAAAGTCGACTTTCGAATTTTATTTGGGTTGCCCCCAGTTTGGTTCCAATATAACAAAAATTTTCTGACAAATCCCAGAATGATTGATTAATATTAACCCGTGCCAGTAATCAATCGAAATTTTCCATTGAAAATGCATAGGAAAAATGCACTTTAAAAAAAAAATTTACAACTTTTTCAATTATTGAGCAAAAAATTTTTCAGGTCACTAATCCGAATATTTTGAAATCCGATTTTTGACTCAAAAACTCCCAAATATGAAGATTTGTTGAATTATTTTGAATATTTATGTGATAAATGATTGATAACATTGCAATGCATTTTTAAGGCCTATATTTTGTAATTTTTTAATATTTAATTTTTTAAAATATATCATCTTAAAGAGTAGGTAAAAATGAAAAAAATTGTGACCTGCAAAATATTTTGCTCAATAATTGAAAAAGTTATGAATTTTTTTTTAAAAAATGCATTTTTCCCATGTATTTTCAATAGGAAATTTCGATTGATTACTGGCACGGGTTAATATTAATCAATCGGTCTGGGATTTGGCAAAAGTTCTTTTTTATATTGGAACCGAACTGGGTGGTGGCTCAAATAAAATTCGAAAGTCAACTTTTTAACGGACACCCTACTGACATATATTTTATTGTATAATTGAATATTTAAATCATAAAAACGTATTTTTAGTTTCACATGGGAAGAGGTGAATTTCTAAACGTGGAAAATTATGCTTTAGCCATGAGCAACGTTGATAAACCGTCACAATTCGTAAAAAACCTTTCTGTGGCCGTATTTGGAAAAGACATCTTAAGGAAAAGCACGGTTTCGGGACGTAAGAGCAATCGGAGCAAGGACGAAGAAATTCCTCCTGCTCTTGACTCCACAAAACTTCTAGCAATTTACGGTAAAATTTACTTCCTCATTTTCTATTTGTCAATTACACTGAAAAAAATTTAATAAAAAATTTGCTTTTTATTTCGGCAATTTCCACTGAATTACAAAAGTAATGCACACAAGGCAATTTTTTCTTATGAAAAAGATAATTTTTGCCTGGTTACTAACGTAACAAAAATGTTATTTATAAAATGTGTTGGTTAACTTAGTAACCCGGAAAAAATTGCCTTTCCCATAATTAAAAATTATGAATTTTTGCTTTATTTTGTTGTTTTAATGTTTAGATTAAAGCTTTAAAAAATATTATTCGAAAGCGATAAAAAGAAATAATATTTATTACCAAAATTGATTTCCAAACTTTTTACTTCTTTTCAAAATTTTTTCATTTTATCAACATAGTTTATGAATATTTTAATTCAAGCTTAAATTTACCTGATTTCGATTTTTATAGTTTGAAAAATGACTATAGACAGATCGTTTAAAAATTATTTTCGAAAAAAAATTTTTTATTAAATTTTTGAAATAATTACTTTAAATAATTAAATTTTTTGAAATACATGATTAAACTATTTATAAATAATTAGAATTTTATTCAAAATAATTGATTTTTTTAAGTTTAGAAAATTAAATTTTGAAGAACTTTAAATGCAAATATAATTAACTTCTCAAAAATTTATAAAAACTTGAATTCTTGAATTAAAACAATTGATTTTACGAAAAACTTTAGGGAAATTAATAAAAATAATCAATTTAGAAAAGGCGTTTATTAAAACAATTAATCTCTTCCAGATACCTATAAATATTGGTTAAAAAAGGAGAGAAAGTTTTCTCAAAACGAGGCTGACCTGGAGGGTATGAAAACATTTTCATACGTATCGAGACAAATTGGAGATTTAAAATGTAATAGAAAGAAAAGTGAGTACCCAATTTTATTTCCAGTATTTCAATGTTATGTATTCTAATTTTAGTTATTTCTTTAAATACAGCATGAATGTTTCAATTTTTCTTATCTTTTAAGGGATATTCCTCAACTTTACATAATTTATGGATGTCCTTTAATAAACTTTGAAATTCGTATATATGTTCGTATATATATATAGAAATCTAATTACAATTGCCTTTAAAAAAATATGTGAATTCTTCTGAACAAATTTTATCAAAATCATTAAAAATCATTGATTTCTTTTAAAAAAATTGGTAAAAATTGTAATACAAATAATTGAAATTCTTCTAAAATTTTATTATCACAGTGGCCGCAAAATTGTACTTTCAAAATTCCCTGACTTTTCCCTGACGTAATTTTTAATTTTCCCTGTCTAAAACATTTTTGAATTATTTAATATTCTACATTGCTGACTGAAATTTTTGTAATGCTTTTTAAGTAACAATTTTATTCATAAATAAAAAAATAAGATAATTAAAATTAAATTAAATTAAAATGGAAATCACAAAATCGTCTAAATAAAAAAACTGAATTCCCTGATTTTTGAAGAATTGTTAAAAATTACCTGACTTACGGCCACCCTGATTATTTATTAAAAGAATTGAATTTCAGCAAAGAATTCTATTAAAATTATATTCAGAACCATTGAATTCCTTTGAAAAATTTTTGAAAATAATTGGATTTTTTCGAGAAATGTTATTAAATTTGTATTGAATATTATTGAATTACTGTGAAGAATTTTATTAGCTATTACAAGAATTGAGTTTCTGCAAAGAATTCTATTGAAATTCTATTCAAAATTTATTATTGATTTCATCTGAAGAATTTTATTGAAATTATTTTTAAAATAATTGAATTCACTTGAAGAATTTTATAAAAAACTTTGTAAAATAATTGAAATTTTGCGAAAAATTTTATCAAAATTTTGTAAAATAATTGAATTTTTTAGAGAAATTTTATTAAATTTATATTAAAAATTGTTGAATTACTGTGAAGAATTTTGTGAAAGATTAAATTAAATGTTGATACTTATGTAAATAATTGAAATAAATAGTAAAATTCTTGTCGAGTATTAATTATTGTCAATAAAATTTTAGTAAAATTTCTCGAAAGAGAAATAATATTTAATATTCATTTAATACTTATTTATTTAATATTTTTGATCAGTAAAAAGGTGAAGAAAGGGACAAATCATCGAAAAAGACGAAAAGGGGACCATCTGTGATGTCTGTTTTAATTATACAAATAATTTTATCTCCGAAGTCATTTTAACATTTTTTTTTATTAAATTTTTGAAATAATTACAGTAAATAATTAAATTTTTTGAAATATATAATTAAACTATTTTTAAATAATTAGAATTTTATTCAAAATAATTGATTTTTTTAAGTTTAGAAAATTAAATTTTGAAGAACTTTAAATGCAAAAATAATTAACTTCTCAAAAATTTATAAAAACTTGAATTCTTGAATTAAAACAATTGATTTTACGAAAAACTTTAGGAAAATTAATAAAAATAATCCATTTAGAAAAGGCGTTTATTAAAACAATTAATCTCTTCCAGATACCTATAAATATTGGTTAAAAAAGGAGAGAAAGTTTTCTCAAAACGAGGCTGACCTGGAGGGTATGAAAACATTTTCATACGTATCGAGACAAATTGGAGATTTAAAATGTAATAGAAAGAAAAGTGAGTACCCAATTTTATTTCCAGTATTTCAATGTTATGTATTCTAATTTTAGTTATTTCTTTAAATACAGCATGAATGTTTCAATTTTTCTTATCTTTTAAGGGATATTCCTCAACTTTACATAATTTATGGATGTCCTTTAATAAACTTTGAATTTCGTATATATGTTCGTATATATGGGGCCATTCAAGTATTACTTAAGCACATTTTTAAGGTTTTTTGACCCCCCCCCCCTCCCCCTAGTAAGATATTTTACATACGTTAGCGCCATTTTTTCTATTGACCATAAGCAATAGCTAGACACCTCCCCTCCCCCTCAAAGGCTTACGTAATACTTGAATTGCCCCATCTTCTTCACCTTAGAATTTTATTAGTTTTCTTTTCTTTTAAGGAGAATAACAGGGGAAATTGAAACAGATCAAAGTTTACGATGTTGAGAGGTGTCAATTTTTTTCTGGAATAATTCGTCACCCAAAATTGAGCGTCTCGATGCAATAATCGGTCGACCGCGTGGAGCCACGCTCTAATACCAGTCGGGTAGCAGTGAGAGACCCAGAGGCGCTCACTGACACTAGACTGGTATCAGCGCCTGCGTTCACGCGGTCGACCGATTATTGCATCGAGACGCTCAATTATGCTATAGTATCAAAATGTCAAATTATTTTGTCCACTAGCTAAAAGAAACGCGCGTAAACGCGCGAGATATCTGCAATTTTTTATGAAAAATTAAAAATTTATTTTTATTTGACGGACACTTTTTGGAATTTTGATCTCACAAAAATAATAATATTATTTTTGTAATCGTTACTGTATTACTATTTCAACATTATGGTGTTATAATAATATAATACCTATTATTGCCCAGTCAATATGACCTTTAAATTTTGTACTCAAATAAAGATTATACAATGCTACGATCGTCGAATTGTCAGCAATACATTTAAATGACCCATCTCAGGATCCATGCAGGGTGAATTCCTATTTTGTTTACCACAAGGCCCATGAACTTAAAATCGCTTTACAATGTTAAAAAGTTCTAAATTCTTTATTTCGTCTGTGATTTCAGCACATATCATTTTATTTAAAGTTTCTGAATCGCAAATTTGTGTACGTAAACAAATAGTTAAACGCACATATGTCAATCCACGCTTTTTTCTTCTCTATGAAAGACGATACATATAAAATTGTAAATGAATAAAATTACAAGTACCTTGAGTATGCTTAAGGTTAACAGTCCATCCAGGATCACCATAAGGAAACATTGTAGGATATGTCATAGGATCAAAATTTTCCCTAACAATAAGACTAGAAATTATTTTCTTATTATTTTCTGTTGTGCATACTGAATTTACATCAACATGTAAATCCCTCTTCAATTTCTGTAGATAATTTCTTCATCTTACAGGACAAACTTTTTTCTTTGGGTATTTTCTTTTCATTCTCAGTTTCAGTAGACAGAACTCTGTTGTCATTTTTACTGGGAAAAGTCTTTAAAAAATATGAAAGGTTTAGTTCACCATTTTGAACTTCTTTAGCTCGATTTATGAAAAGACAATTCCAATCATTCTCTACAAATCGAAATCCTAATATTAGACATTCTAACTGCCAGAAAATTATTTAATTAATTGTTTTCAAAAAATGATATCAAATGCTTGCTCATTATATTATTATCAGTTTCATAAATTAATCTTTTAATTTACACTGTTAACCAATACAGATGTTGCAAATGCTATTGCATTATACTTTACACTTAACTGTACCAATCGGTTGTTGATCAACATCTACAAAAAATTCTGTTGGTTTAAAAGGGAACAATCTAATTAAATATTCTATTTGGTGAATATTCAAACACCCTGCATTAAGGCTATCAAAAATATAAAGTCTTACTCCATCGTAATAAACACAAATCCAATGACCAGAATTGTTATTACCGCTAAAAACTATTTGAATATGTTTAACTCTTTCTCTAATTGGAACAATTAAATCAAGCATTTGTAAATACAAAGTACTTTGCATAATGAAAAAAGAATTTGAATCATTTTTTGATAATTCTTGAAATTTATACATGTGCATATCATTTAACATTTCATTTACATTTTCAATATTTTTAAAATCTTCATTACTTAAAATAAAATACTCTTCTATGTTCGACATGGTATCCTTCTTCAACTTTCAAACTGTTGATAAAGCCAATTTTCAAAACAAATCGTTTATTTTAGTTTATTGCTTTAAAAAATTTACTTACATGTGTTTCACCTATAAAATATTGCATTAACTATAATTCAGCTAACTAATGCAACAATGATAGTCTTTTATGAACGTGAATTAGCGTTGTTTAATCTTTTTCCACATTACATCATTTTCAATAATGATTATTATTGAACTTATTTTCCTCTGCACTTTTTATTAATATTCAAATCAATATTCAACTCACAAACTATTATTTAACCCATAAAACAATTTTAACCCTTAAAACAATATTCAAACCTCTTTCTATCTATTTAAATACTTTTCCAAAAGCCAGCATCCTCTATTCTCAAACAGTCAATATTTTTTTTTCAATATCGAAATATATTCAATGCCAATGTTATCCAATATCATATTTTATTATCCTCAAAATCCAAATATCTTTAATGCCAAAATTACCCAAAACCAAAAAATTTTTCCAAAAGACAGCTTCCACTATTATAAAACAATCAATATTTTTGTTGCATTATTAAAATATATTCAATACTAATGTTATCCAATATCTTTCTTTATCCTCAAAATCGTAATATCTTTAATGCCAATGTTATTTAATACCAAAAAAACTAAATGGATTGAAGTATTTTTTATATGAAACATTTAAGGCTGCAGTCCCATGGCAGCGTTTTGCGTTGCGTTTTGTCACTAGACCATGAGTGTAAAAGAGATGCAGATATATGTTTGCTATGTTTACACTCAGGGTCTAGTGACAAAACGCAACGCAAAACGCTGCTATGGGACTGCAGCCTAAGACAACCAAAAGAAACAAATATCTTCAATACCAATATCATGCAATATCCATATTTATCTTCAAAATACATATATAATTATTAATACTATACAAAAATAGGAATATATTTTTTGGGCCCAATACAAAAATGAAAAAGACAAATATAATATAAGAAGATTCAACACCTGCAGTAAGTTATTGATCGACAAATTGCAGAAAAATATTATAAACTTTATAATAATCAAGTTAAGTTACCTGAGACTATTAGAATCTTTTTTTAGCAACACTACTACAATGTTGTTGAAACGGTAGTCGGTTGCTCTATGTTTATCTTACATCAGCAGTAGCCGTTTCACTCCATTGAGGAGAAGTGTTATACCCCCACTCTACCAATCTGGGCCTATATTAAGTTCTCGCGTGTGGCAGATATTACGGTAGGCCTGAGTGGCATCCTCGGGGATAGGTGTTGGTAAGTTAAGTATGAATACACCACTTCCACTCACTGGGATTAAACGGTTATCATCTATATCGCATATACAATAATAAAAAAATTTCCCTCAACCCAAGACTGTTAGGACGAATCGAGCAATCACGGATTGGGTCCTGAAAAGGGAAGTGGTATATCCTCACTCTATCGGCCTGTCCCGGGCTCAGACCTCGAGTAAGTCAATTACAGCGGGGGCCTGTATGACGTTCTCGGGCTTAATGACAATATTATTTTATGACGCTTAATGAGTTTTTCAAAAAAATTATAAAATTTTTAAATATAAACACTGTTTAATTTATTTTGACATATTCGTTTTCCTCAGAAGTTCACGATTACGATCATATATTGCTCCAATAATAACACAGGCACAAAAAAAAATTCAGGTCCCAAAAAACACAACCCCATATTCCTATGTTTTTGGGGTCGCTGAAACCGAATATGACCATGAACAATTTTTTTGACGACCCATTTTCCCGCAACCACCCCTTGCACCTACTCACGGGGGTTGGAGTTTCAAATTTAAAAAAATTGAGTATTGTGTCTATTCCAATGTTTTTTGGGTCGCTTCATCCCAAAAACACCATTGAAAACAAATCCTTTCTTTCCTTAACCCCGTACAACCCTCTGGGAGGGGGTTAAAATTTTAAATTTCACAAAAAGTCAAGTTCGGTGTCTAATCCTACGTTTCTTGGGGCGCTGAAATCAAAAAACACCACCAAAAACAAATTCTTTACCCCCTTTAACCCGCTAGAACCCCTGGGAGGGGGTTGGAATATCATTTTTCACGGCGATAAGTGTAGAAAAATAAATTTCCTTAAGACTTTGTAGGTGCGTATTTGTGTAATCATAGGTAACTTTCTAGAAAACTTTATTGTTGGTGATGTTTCTTGGTTTCAGCGACCCAAAAAACATAAGATTAGACACCGTACTCGACTTTTCGTGAAAAATGAAATTCCAACCCCCTCCAGGGGTTGTAGGGGGTTAAAAGGGTAAAGAATGTGTTTTTGTTGGTGTTTTTTGATTTCAGCGACCAAAAAAACATAGGAATAGATACCGTACTCGACTTTTTGTAAAAATTGAAATTCCAACCCCTTCTCAGGGGGTTGTAGGGGGTTAAGGATTTGTTTTTAGTGGTATTTTTCGGATTAAGCGACCCAAAAAACATAGGATTAAACACCGTACTCGACTTTTCGTGAACAATGAAATTCCAACCCCCTCCCAGGGGTTGTAGGGGGTTAAGGATTTGTTTTTAGTGGTATTTTTCGGATTAAGCGACCCAAAAAACATTGGAATTGACACACTACTCGATTTTTTTTTTTGAAACTCCAACCCCCGTGAGTAGGTGCAAGGGGGTGGTTGCGGGAAAATGGGTCGTCAAAAAAAATTTTCATGGTCATATACGGTTTCAGCGACCCCTTTCATTACAGTATTTAAAAGGTCATCGACCATCTTATGAACCCTCAACCAAAAGCTGTTTTGACAACAAAAATTTCAGGTAGAAACCTTCGAGAACCCTAATTATCAAAGTAAAGATATATATGTATATATAATCTAATAATAATGAGAAAATTCAAGTACTAAGAAAATGTGAATGAATGACGGAATGAATACAAAGATTATTATACTATAATTTTAGAATTTTAATTTTTTACAAAAATTTGAATTTTTAGAAATCCATATGATTGATTACAGAAAATGTATTAAAAAGCGTGTGAAAAAATTTTCATTAAAAAATATTGAAAATTGTAGAAGTAGTTCCACTTTTTAGTATTAACATTGAATACTTTTTATTCAACACACTTTTTCAATGGTTTTTTTAAAAAATTTTCAATCTCATTTGTTAGTAACTTTAAATTGTTTCCTTGAAAAAATAATTGAAAAAGAGTGTTTTGAATATAAAATATTCAAAGTTAATATTAAAAACTGGAACTACTTCTACAAATTTCAATATTTTTTAATGACCATTTTTTACACGCCTTTTAATATATTTTCTACGATCAGAGCTTAGATTTCTAAAACTTCAAATTTTTGTTATTTGGCAAATTTTATTTTTCGATACCCACTGCTTTAACTAAATTTTTCAGTATTGTTGCTATTTTTTATTAATTAATGAGTTCAAAGCCTTCATTTTACAAAAATTACAATAATTTTTTTTTATATTTTTAGAGATCTATAAGCAAGTTAGTGGACGAAAAATAATTGGCATTGAAGCTGCGGAAAAAGAAGCAGAAGTGGAAAATAATGAAGCAGTTGGAGTAGAAGCAGCCTAAACAAAAAATTTAATATTTTATAAAAATATAATATATTGTAAAAATAAAATATAATATATAATAAAATAATAGTTTATATAATAAAATAATAATATATAAATAAATTAGTGAAAATATTTTATTAACCCACTCTTTAAAATATGAAAAGCGATTAAATATACTACTCATTTTAATTTGCGTACATAGTGGTTAATTAGTGAAATTTCATTAAATTAACGATTACATTTCCTTGAATTTTTAGCGCATATACGCTTTTTGAAATTAGTGGTACACTTATCCCTGGAAACCTATGATACTTTGTTAATTCCAATTTGGAAAGTAAAAAATTATTACAACTGCTTTAGTTTTTAGTTAATAAAAGGTATAAAAAGAAAATTAATTTAAGGCCTTATACTTTTTTTGGGTGCAGTTCCGAATAAGGTCCCCCTCCGATTTTAATAAAATTTGGTATACTAACGTATTTTGGTGCGCTGATTACGAAAATGATAGTGAAAATTGGCGCAAATTTGATTATCATGGTAAAAACCATAAAAAACACCATAAAATCATGGTTTTTTGCGATTATCTCGTAAAAAACAAAAAATTTCGAAAAAAGTTTTAGACAAAAGTTGTAGATCTCTAAAAAACACACATTTTATGTTGTATGCATTTTTTATCTAAAGTGAACAGTTTTCGAGAAAATTGTAAAAAACAATAGATAATCATTTTACGTTCCGCAAAATACTTTCGGCCATATCCACCCCCTCTCGCCAAGGTTTTTTTAAAAAGAAAAGCGAGCAGTACCTTACGCGGCCGAAGGCCGTGTTTAATATTTTGCGTTTACCGCTACTGCAGACTCCACCCCACAATTTCCGCAAAATACTTTCGGCCATATCCACCCCCTCTCGCCAAGGTTTTTTTAAAAAGAAAAGCGAGCAGTACCTTACGCGGCCGAAGGCCGTGTTTAATATTTTGCGTTTACCGCTACTGCAGACTCCACCCCACAATTTCTGCAAAATACTTTCGGCCATATCCACCTCCTCTCGCAAAGGTTTTTTTAACAAGAAAAGCGAGCAGTACCTTACGCGGCCGAAGGCCGTGTTTAATATTTTGCGTTTACCGCTGCTGTAGACTCCATACCCCACAATTTCCGCGAATTACTTTAGGACCATTTTTCTCAAAAAATAATGACTTTTGGTAAAAAATGCATAAAACATAAAATGTGTGTTTTTTAGAGATCTACAACTTTTGTCTAAAACTTTTTTCGAAATTTTTTGTTTTTTACGAGATAATCGCAAAAAACCATGATTTTATGGTGTTTTTTATGGTTTTTACCATGATAATCAAATTTGCGCCAATTTTCATTATCATTTTCGTAATCAGCGCACAAAAATACGTAAGTATACTGAGTTTCATTAAAATCCGAGGGGGACCTTATTCGGAACTTTATCCCTTTTTTTAATATATTTATTTATTTAACATATACATGGGCATTGTAAAAAAGTTGTGGTTATTTTTATTTTTAATCAATTAATATTCGTGAATAAATAATTTTGTCTTACCTTTAAAATGAGGATTTAGTTTATTTATTCTCATTTCCTTTCATTTATTATTGCACTTATTATTATTAATTAATTTTCTTGTTTTGTCTCTTTATTAATCACTATTTACATTAACTGCTATTAATTAATTTATAGAGAAAAGTAATTATTCTATTCAGTTCTATACCGACAATAGAAATTTAAATTCATAGCTTGTATCCATTGTCGGTAAAAAGAGTAGCATACTTACCCGATGAATAGCTCTCTTCAATGGTAACACTTTTACTAAATAACCTAATTCTATTATTTTTAATTGAAAGTTCCATTTTTATCTTAATTCTGGTCTCTCCACAATTTATTTAACCTTTTAATTAATAAAAGGTCACTTTTATCCCAATTAAAACGTTTTTTCATTCGTTTTAACGCTATTTTCAATCGAACGTATTGGACTAACTACACACAAAGGATTCGACATAACCAGGGATGCGCACGTAATAAACGTAGTGTAGATTACGCGTAGTTTCATACGTATATAACGTACGTTATATACGTCACTCGTTTTCTACAAAACGTAATTTACGTTTTCAATATGGCGGCGATTTGTGAATTTGTGATATATGTAAACATAACCTTTCTTTAGTATTCATGGTATTCATCGATATCGATCTCATGACAACTTAAAACTATACACTGTAAAAAAAATTTTGTGTCGATTTACACGCCGAATGTAAAATAACTTATTCAACAATGTTAATTTATTATGCTTTGTAAATTTATAACGTTAAACATTTTAATTTTACACTGCTGAACGTTGTGAATTCACACGGTTGTGTAATTTTACAATGTTGGACATTGGAAAGTATGGCCATACATACATGTGGCCATACTTTCCAATGTCCAACATTGTAAAATTACACAACCGTGTGAATTCACAACGTTCAGCAGTGTAAAATTAAAATGTTTAACGTTATAAATTTACAAAGCATAATAAATTAACATTGTTGAATAAGTTATTTTACATTCGGCGTGTAAATCGACACAAAATTTTTTTACAGTGTATATAATATATTAAAAGGTTATGTTTGGTTATCAGGTTATGTTTGTAAATGATTTAAATTTAAATCCGCCATCTTGATTTACTTTCATACATTTCATACGATTTATACGTATATTACGTTTTTGACGTAAATTACGTCAAAAACTCTCAGTTACGCGTAACTGCGCATCCCTGGACATAACACTCCAATATGTTAAAATTCAAATAACGGATTCAACATACCGAGCTTCAATACGTTTTCCCGATTCTCGCTATCCAACTTTTTTTACAGGGTTAATTTAGAATATCGTTTATTTTTAATTAAGAATTAAAACTTCATTAATTAAGTTACAGATATATATGTATACATGTATACAATATGAAATTAGTAGCGAGGGATGGAGGATAAAACAGAAATATGTGTCCTTTTTCTTGTTATTGCTATTTAAAAAAAAAATTTTGATTTACAAATCAAAATTTTGTATAAGGGGGAAGTGTAACGCTACGCTGTTACCAACCATCAGAGTTGGGAAACTTGATTCAATATTTTAACGTTACTGATACCAACTCCCGATTAAAAAAAAGGAAAAGAGAGAAAAGGCAGTGAAAAAGAGAGATAGAGAATATTAAAGAAAAGAAAAACGAATTGACTAATAAAAAGAGACAAAGATAGAGATATGTATATATGTATGTATGTATATATGAATGTATTTTGAAATATATGTGGATATGTATTTATATGTATGTATATTGAAAGCCATATGGAAGAGTGAGAGATGAGTGTAAAAGAAATAGATAGGAATAAATGTAAGTGAATGAGTGAGAGAGATGTATATATAGATAATAGGACATAAAAGGTACTTTGGGAGGGTTTTTCTGCAGTTTCCCCTATCCTCTGAAGGGTTGTTTCAGGTGAATGCGAGTACTTATTAATAAATCGTCTGCAGGCGTCAAAAGGAATTAAAAGATAATGTAATTAAGGTCCTTTTGCAATGAATCTGAGTTTTTCTTTCTAGATCTTGTTAATTTAGAAATAATTTATTAATCGAACTTTAAAAAAAATTATTGTTAACTTAGGAAGGTTAAAATATACCGAAGGAAAGTTTTTACGATCAAGCATGAATCATCTCTAAAGGTTGGAAAACTGCGCATATGTCAAGGTTGAACATGAGTCATCTTTAACGGATAGACCACTTGCTAAATTGCGTCTTTGGAACTAAAAAGTCAAAATAGGAAGAGTATCAAAATCGATCAATACCAAAAGCTTGACGTGGATTGGAGAAGTCATTCCAACTGAGTCACCACTCTGAAACAGAATTGGCTGGGACCATGGACCTAGGATCAAGAAAAGAGTAGGAATACTTCTATAAAAGAGCATGATATGAGGACGCAGATTCAGAGAGATAGATACAGCTTCAAACGAATTCAGACAACTCTAAGTTAGGTTTACAATCCCGGCAGATTTTTATTGCAAAGAATATTCTAAGTTAATATCACGTAATAAATTGTCTTGCGAGAATCGTAGAAAGTGAATAGAACTTTGAATAAAAATAACTCAGATTCAGTTAATTTCTGAATAAAACAACTAGTGATTTCATATGAAATTAATTGTGTTTTAATTGATTTTAATTCCTCTCAACAAGTTAATCCTTTAGGATTTTAATGAGATTCGGACTCAATTAATAGAATCATATAGAAGTTAAAGAATTAGTGTAAATAATTAACTTAAAAAAAACTAAGTAAACTTTAAAATATTTATACTAATAGTGTTGTGAAAGCACCTTAAAACATCATTGGTAGTTCTTGCTGCACTGTTCCATCTACAAAGACTTATTTCTGATCAATTATTTTGGTGACAGCGATATTGTAGACGGACCGTTATATAGCTTTAAGGTGCTTTTATACCTCAAATTTCGATCAGATGAACATTATTTCTGGACCGTGAAAATGCGTGATAAGTCATTTTCACGGCCGGTATTTTTGAATTGTTTTAAACAAAAAATGTTTTTTTTTTAAGAAATATAATATTAAATAATTGTTTTAATATGTAAGAACACTTTAAAATAGTGATAGAAAGATGATTTTATTGAAAAATTTAGCAAATTTTGCTTTAAAACGTTTTCTGCTACAAGAAAGTGTAAAATGACGATGTTTGTGAAATGGTTTGTACCGTGCTTCTTCCTTGTGAGTGTCTCTCAGAGTTTTGTTTGTTATGGAGGTTCTACAATATACGGAAGCTTCTACGCGCCACCTCAAGCGCGTTCCACACTTAAACTTTTCGGGCGTCCGACACGACACACGTGCCCCCTCTTCTCCATCTACCAAATGCATTCCCCTCCTGACGTAGGAGAAGTTAGTATTGAAGAGGGGGCACGTTTCACGTGTCGGGCGTCCGAAAAGTTTAAGTGTGGAACGCGCTTCATAACGAGGCGAAACCAACTTATGCTCGTTTCATATTTAACAGACAGAACATCGATGTTTCAATGTTCTTGTCGTAAAGAACACACAAGTTGG